CCAGCCTACCTGGGAAGAGACTGGCCCCCCCCCCCCACCCCAGGGCTAGCCAATTCTGAGATAGCTAAGGGTTCTCCTGGAAGCATGCCTCTCATATGCATACTAACCAATCCTGGGCCCATACTCTAAACTACCTCCTTTATCTAACTCTCATACATCAAGCCAATATTTCTCCTGTCCTAAATCAACCCTGGGCCAGGTACTAGACAACTAGAAATAGCACCAATCACTCAAAGCCCACCAGAATTACTCAAACCGGCCAATCCTAAACTGTTTCCCTTTTTTGCTTTTCTGTCTTGCTTTTCCCGCAGAAAAGTCCTGTCTTGCTTTTCCTGCAGAAAACACAACAAAGGCTGTGGCCTACACTTCCCTCTTGTTCTTGCTTCTGTTTCCTGACTGACAGACACTTGTGTTTCCCCGGGTGGCCCTCTCCCCTCAGGAAATGTAAGTAATAAAAACCTTCTTTCAATGGCAATAGCCTCTCTGAGTCGCCACTCAGTCACCTCTATAAATTAAAATCATGTGAATACAAAAATTGAGACAAAGTCACCTAGATTGGAAAGGAAGAAGTAAAAACTGTCTTTGTTGAGGGATGACTTAATTGTTTATGTAGAAGATCCAATGGAATCTACAAAGAAGTCACTAAAATTATAAGTGAGTTAAGCAAGATTGCAGGATACAAATATACAAAAAAACAACAAAGAATTAGAAATTGAAATGAAAACAATATCATTTATAATAGCATTAAAAATACAAAATACTTAGGAAGAAATATAACAGAAGATGTGCAATATCTGAACACTGAAAACAATGCTGAAACATTAAATTTCATACGTGAGAGAACTCAATGCTATTAAAATGTCAATTCTCCTTAAATTAAAAAAATAATATGTAGATTTAACATAATCTCAATAAAAAAAATCTCAGTAGGTTTTTTTTTTTTTTAGTAGAAATTGACAAGCTAATTCTAAAATTCCTATAGGAATTCAAAATACCCAAAATAGCTTTAAAAACTTTGAAGAAGAAAGTTGGAGGATTTACACTCCCCAACATCAAGATCTATTATAAAGATACTGTGATGAAGTGGTATTGGTATCAAGACAGACAAATAGATCAATGGAACAGAACAGGGAGTACAAAAATAGACCCACACATATATGGTTAATTAATTTCCAACAGAGATGCAAAAGCAATTCAGTGGAGAAAGGATAGTCTTTTAAACAAATGGCACTGGACCAATGCAACATTTATATGTTTAAAAAGTGAACTTCAATCCATACTTTGCATTATATAAAAAATAAACTCAAAATTAGTCATTGGTCTAAATGTCAATCCTAAAATTATATAACTCAAGAAAAAAACACAGGAGAAAATCTTTGCGACCTTGGGTTAGGCAAAGATTTTTTTAGATTCAACACCAAAAGCATGACCCATAAGAGAAAATATTGATAAATAAGAGTGCATCAAAATTAACAACTTCTGTTCTTCAAAAGATACTATCAAGAAAATGAAAAGACAAGCTAAATGTTGGGAGACAATATTTGAAAATCACATAATTGACAAAGGACTTGTATCCACAATATACAGATGACTCTCAAAATTTGATAAAACAAAATCCCAATTTAAAAAAATGAGCTAAAGATTTGAATACTTTGTCAAAGAAGATACACAGGTAACTAATAAACACATGAGTAGATGTGTAGCATCGTTGGTTATTAGGGAAATGCCTATGACAACCACAATGCGATATCATCACATACCTATTCAATGGCTAAAATTAAAGGACTGACCATACTACCTGTCGGCAAGGATGTGGAGCAATTGGCGCTCTCATATACCACTGGTGCGAATGTGAAAAGGTACAATGGTGGGAATGCTGAAACAGGTGGGGATGAGATCTCCCACTTACTGGGTGCTGGGTGCTTTGCAATTGTATTCAGGATGTTTTCTTATTTGCTGTATTCTTTTTTTTTTTTTTAAAGATTTTTATTGGTGAATTGGGGGGATGGGAACAGTGCTGGGGAATTGGGGGAAGGGGGACAGACAAGTTGCTGTCGTTTTGTTCTTCAGTCTAGTTGTGGAGGATGTTGCTTCACTGGCCCAAGTTGGCACCATCATTGCGCTCTTCCCGGGTGAGGCAGATCAGTCGCAGGCTTCTGGACGGCCGCTCACTGCGGCTGCTGGCCGCTCACGCTGGCTGCTGGCTGCACACGGTAGCCCATGGTAACCCACTGCCACAGGGACTGCAGCCCACGCCGTCGCCGGCGACTCACAGCAGCCCAGCTCCAGATTGAGCCGTTGTTCAGCATCTTAGCTGTAGAGGGCAGTGTCACTGGCCCTCATATGTGGGATCTGAACCGGGGCCCTCTGGCATCCCAAGCGAGTTCTTAACCATCGCGCCACTCGGCCAGCCCTATTTGCTGTATTCTTGATGCTCTGACATCTGGGGCCTTACTAGCCAGGGAAACACTGCCTTTCCCAGGGCTACCCAATTCTTAGAGATAGCAATAGACTTGCCCAGGAGCATGCCTTTCACATGTAAACCAACCAGCCCAGAGCCC